CAAACAAATGAACTGATTAGGTGGGAGCCTTCACTCATTCATTCACACAGCTTCTCATCCATGACATCCTTGAGCACACTGCACTTCGATGACAAATTCTCCCTGTCCTTCTTTTTGGCCCATACAATTCGGTTCTTCTACCATCCTCCTCCAGCTATCCTTGCCTTTCCGAACATCCACATCCAAACTTGTCCTCTCTTCATCTCACCCTTCCTCTTTCCGTGCCACGTGCAATATCCTCACATCAGGCTTTTATTCTACCCATGTACCTCTTTTTCTCATATACTTCTAGCTATCCGTAAAATTGCACAAGTGTTATTATCTCGTTTGCGTTAAATATGTTCCGTGCATGTCGAACATTAGAATGGATATTTTACTGCCAATTATTAATTGTTGTTCTTCAATCTTCCCTGTTTCGTCCTCACTGTCAACTCATCATTCCTCATTTCATGGACCAATGCCGCATCTGTAGAATAGACGTCGCATTGCCTCATGTACTTCACGGAGGATGCCACAGTAAATCCCGCCTGGGGCGTCGAGGACCGCACCACCGTCGTTCGCGACTCTCAGTCGTTCGTTTCTTGTAGTCCTTTGAATGGTCGACCTCGTACGTGACTCCAACTCCTGCTACAAGTCAGTATTCCTTCACTCCCTCCCTTCTTTACTTCCCCTTTTTGAAAGTCGACGACAACTGTGTTACTTGGGCTTGCACTTTTTGTGCGTTCAGTCAATAAATGTAGCCAACTTTTTATCAAGAACAATAAAGTGCAATTAGCCGATGGCATCCCTTCAGTCGTAAAGGGCATTCCTGAAGTAGGAAAGTGAAGGACTCCAACTTCACTTATGAACCGTGTTGGCTCTGGGTTTGGTGTGTCTGAGGTCGCGTATTAGTGGATATTGGCGGCTCAATATCCTCATATATTTGGTGCGCTTAACCAGTATGACCTGAAATCACTCGAGTTTAGTGATTTATACACGCAAGAGCTATAAATCTGTTGCTTTTAGATTTATGAAAGGTGATCTACACAATAAAATAAAGGAGAGATAGTCCAAGATCTCTCCGATGATCTCTTATATCAAAGGAGGAATTTCTACATTAACACCCTCATCGCGATTGTCTTGATGAGTTTGTTATCGTAATCATAAAGATTTCTTTCACTAGTTGTGGTAGATTGTCACACCAAATTGTGTGGAGAACGGTTTTGTTGAGCCTAAGGGAATGAAAGGGAAGCAGGGTGGTCTTAATGTGAGGATAGCTGCATTTTTTTAGTTTGTGAGCACCACTTAAAATAGTGAAGTTGGTGGTATGATATTAAGCTTGAAAGAGACAACTAAACGTTCTGCTTTGAGGTAATCTGAGAGCACAATAGAAATTTTTTAATGTCCTCGCATCTTTTTCTTTTATATTAACATGTACTAAGTATATCCCATCATTTCTCATTAACTCTTCATTTGGAGAAGCTTAATGGATGGATTAAATTTACTACCGACTAAGCAATGCAGCAGTCAGAGCTTTGCCATCAGTTCAGTAATGCTACGCATAGCATGGTTAGATTCTGCAAAGCTTTCTTATCACGGACCTGACACGAATCTCGTTACAGAAGCCGTTCTTATGTAAGTAAACCAGTAGTCAAATGTGGCAGTTAACCAGGTAGTCAAGTGGTTGCTTGGTCAATCCTATGGTCAATGAAACACAAGTGGATTTTGGGTGCTGTGACCGTTAAGTAACTGATAGTTCTAATGTCAACAGTGGCCACCCGATGGTCAGCGATGGCGATGTGATGGAAGTGTATTCCATCCGAAGGGTGGCAACTGCTACTTCTCTGCTTGCTCTTCCATTTCTGACCATCATCTGACAGTCAGATAGTCCGATAGGCCACATTCGGCCTCCTACTTTGCCAATTCCACGTCGTGGTCATCAAACTTCACTCATCAGATTTGGTAGCTCAGACCACAATCTATCCAGATGCAGAGTGTGTAAGAGGAAAGGAGGTACTTATCAATTTTTCCGACAATTTCGTCGGCCGAAAATTATGATGATGGCGGGCCGTATTGGGATAGGGTCATGGAACAGGAGGCAGTGGACGTCAAAGGAGGCGAAATGGCAGTTCTGTTGTAAGTCGCATTTGTGGATACAGATTAAGGGAGTGAGTGGAGCAGGAAAGAGAGAAGGGTTGGCGAATGTCAGCTTCAGTGGAGAAGGAAAGTTTGAGATGGGTAGAGGGTATTCAAGTCAGCCTCAGTTGCGGTTGCCTCTACATTAATTATAGTGGTTGTGGGGATAACGGCGGTAAGAAGAGAAAAAGTTGACTCTTTTGTGCAAAGACATCCAGAGCGAAACAGCCCTTAGGTCCTGCATGAACTGCAAGTGATTGGCTCAGTCACTGTGAAAAGACCTCTGTACCCATTAAATTGTCAAAAGCTGGATGAGGGGCATGTTGAAAGCGCTAGCTGTAGTGGCTACAAGGTAATAGAGTAGTGTTTAAAATGATTGTGCTGCGCAAACTCCGAACATCAGACCAGCTACCAAACACTTTCTATGTTCAATTTTGACGTGCATTTTATTTATTGAAATATTGATTAACGAATTAATTTAATAACAGTTCATTCAATAATCGATGATGCACTGGGACATTAATAGCGCCAGATGTTAAAACTTGCCCAAAAATACATGTAGTTGTAGTTGCTGGCACTGACTGTGTTAGAGGGCACTAAATTGTGTTTTAATACGTATAAAATGGTAGACGTATTAGGGTGGCATTCATATAGCTGCACCGAATCAGCAGTGTGAAACTTACTCACATTAAAGGTGGAATATGTTTGTGTTGCCTTCAGATGGTGCTGCAAAAATGTCTCAGTATTCAATGGAAATGAGTAATCACCCTCATTTGAACGAAGTGAAAGCAACTGAGGCATTACAAATTTATGGCCGCAAATTACATTTCAGTAGTATATTAGAAGGGCGGAGTTAAATGGCACACACTAGCTCAACGTTAACATCAAGCGCGGCAAGCTAATTCCGTCGATGAATTGTGACTCCGCCCGATGCCTTCTTTTCATCTCCCGTGTTCCATGAGCATTTCCTTTTAAGTACTGGATTACGCTATTAGCGTTGACACCAATCCTCTAGCCAATCGCACCATTTAAAGCATGACATGGGACAAAACATTTACTTCTGATTGGCCATTGATGTTGTGTGCGAGAGCCACAAGACTCAGTACACCAGTAAAAAGACAGAGCAAACTGATTTGTCATGGTAATCAGTGCCTTGTCATACTTGCAGTAATCATGAAGGCAACAGTAAATTTTGAATGCTGGTAAGAAAACTAATGCAATAAATAGAAAGTCAACTGTTATTTAGGACTTTCTTTGACGTGAATTTTGGAGGAGTATAGGAACAG